GTCATCATGACAACTGTTGCGCCCCTTTGTTCCCAGATCATTCTCCAGAAATCTCCAAAGGTTTCAGGAAGAGCTCCTTGTGTTGCTATATAGGCATTCTGTTTTCTGTAGCCGTCTATGTAGTTAGCATTTATATAATCACTCCCTGGTATGCCTAGAAAGCAAAATGTGACCATGGCCTTGAGAGTTCATATTGTTTCATTTCAATTTTTTTGATTAAGAAACAAAATGACATTTCAGTATTTTCCAACTTTTTAATACATCTTTCTTTGTTTTTCTTAGTATCTTAAGATGCTTGTTATTTGCATTTACCATGGAATATTTACCTATTTCGTTCTAGAAGATTGCCATGTAATCCCTGATGAATCAAATAAACTATAACTGTCTTTGGACCTGCTAAATTATCTTTCATTTTAATGCAGTTTATTGCATTTATCAGTCCTGTGTGATCCACAAAATCTGGCTTTGAAATTAAACATATTACCATATTTACTCAGGTCTATGCACCATCGAATCTAATGCACACCTCAGTTTTCAGAACCTTGAAACCAAAAAAAGTATTTGCTGGCAAATGTAAATGTGCCATCGAATCTAATGTGCACCTTAATTTTCGCAACGTTATTTCGTTAAAAAAAGGTGAGCATTAGATTCGAGTAAATATGGTATCTTAAGCTCTAGTTCCAACCAACTTTTCCACAAAATCAAATTATCACCTAACCAAGGTTTCCTAACAGTCCATCCTCTTTTCCTTTTTTTGTGCTGCTCACTAGAACTATGTCCAAAGAACTTTCTGTTAATATCAATGAAGAAATTAACTATTTTACCTTAAAGCATTGGGAAAGCTCTTCTGTCACTGGTCTATTATTATTATTATTTAAAATTTTATATTAAGAAGTGACCAACACCATCGCCTTAAAAATATTAGCAATATGTCAAAATCTGGACCTGGGTTGCTGCTGTAAAAATACTTTCTTCCATTCTTGATAAGTGTGATTTTGGCTCCAGCTGTTTCTCAATCTATTGTCTTTCTTACACATAACCTGTTGTGATATTATAACTCCCCCTCCATAAAAAAAAAAAAATAATCCTAAGTGTCACAATGTCATTAAAGCTCTCTATTCAAAGAATGGCATTATAACATTGCCACTTGTCATCCAGCACATGCAATTTAAAAAAGAAACAAACAAATCCCAAGGCTTTTCACATTATTAAGCAGAGATGTGATTTTATGAAAAGTTCTGCTACACCAATGGAAGGTCCAACTAGTCTGGCAAACTGATGGCTATCAAGAAATTTCTGGCATCATCGAAGCATGGCATGAAGGCAAAAAACCTTTGTTATTTGTCCTGGTTATTTTAACTGGAGCCATTAAACCTTTATGGGGAAATCAAGGGGAAAACAGTCAGGATCATAGGTGGGGAGGAGGAAGGAAGGCAAAACGGCTCTGAGGTCTTTTCCACAATCAAACAGTATAGACATTTTACAAAATAAAGAAAATGTGTGTCCCTACTCTGAACACTGATAACCGCAGTGACAGAGGTTGAAAGAACTGGAATAAATCTGAAGAATGCACCATTTTTTAATCTTCCCCACCCACCTTCTGTTATGATGCTTCACTAGTAAATTGCACAAGTTTGGCACAAGTTCTGTCCCACCACGGGCCACCGGTTGGCTCAACAAATGAGCTGCTCAAAATAAATCAAAGACCTGAAAGCACCTTGGACTACATTTCTTGCAAGAAAAAGCCATTGCGCTTCAGTTTGTGTGGCTGTCAGTAGCCTGCTTACCTGCAGGCATGCACACACAGCAGGAGTGAGAGAAGACCAGGGTCAGAGTGAGTCGGCAGCCCCAATGAGCGAGCGATGAGCAAAGAGACAGGTGATCCAGTGAAAGCAGGTGATCAGGCAGTCGGGCAGCTAGGTCTTCACAAACTCCTTACCACCCAGGGGTGCCAACTTGAATAAAATAGGGGGGGCAGGTTGGCCCCACCCCATATAAATGATTACAAGATCATGCACACCATTTGAATAGCAGTGCCCATCAACCTCAAATATTTTATGGGGAGGGGGTGTCGAATGGACCTCAACTCCTAGGACAGGCTTGGGAAAATCGGCCCTCCAGATGTTTTGGGACTACAATTCCCATCATCCCTGGTCCTCTTAGCTAGGGATCATGGGAGTTGTAGTCCCAAAACATCTGGAGGGCCGAGTTTGCCTATGCCTGTCCTAGGAGATTGCTTCTGTGCTACCATCACTTTCTCCTCTTCAGCAGCCGCTGCCAGGAGGAAGCGAAGTGTGCATTTCAAAATGCATAGTTCCTTCAGGTGGTAGCAGCATGGGGAGAAAGACTTGGTTCTCTTTTTTCCTTCCTTTCTTCTGGGAGTGGCGGTGGCAGTGGGATCTTGGGATTGGGGTGAGCTATGGGGGGGATCAGGGAGGGGAGTTGTCAAGAGGGGTAGGGAGGGCTGGCAAACAATGCAAGCAGCGGCTCTTAGTAATAGAATAATATCATTAAGAGAACTTTCCTTTTTGCCACACACACACACACACACACACACACACATCCTTATGTGCCCAATTCTTCATTCTACCACTCAATTATCTTTGAAGAAGTATGATGACCTGTTGTGACCCTATTTAAATTTCAATACAGTTTGGAAATGATTTTAAAATTGTATGGATTATTTATGAAGTTTGCTTTGACCTGCGGTATCATCTTTGCTGACCCTGAACAACTATAAAGACTTCTTAAAATCTGTATAAGCAGGAGCAAACTGCAACCAGAATTTGGACAGCTTTTAGCATCAGGGGAAAAGTGATGACTACTAGCTCCAGGTCATAGACATTCTCTCTCTCTCTCTCTCTCTCTCTCTCTCGTTTCTTTAGAAGTGGAATTATGGTTGTAATTTTTCATTTATGAGGGGAAAACGTCGTGTGAAATAGACCTCAGTATACAGAAGGCAAGCAGTGATGTCTCCTGCATGCCAGTTTACTTAGGGCTGCACATCATAAACACTGCAGCCCCCTTGATTTCAGTCTTTGATTGCAAGCCTCTGTATGTTAGCTACAGATACTGAACTGCCATTTTGGTCTCACACCAGAAGCTGAACAAAACAAAGTGCATTTCTAAGTCCATCACTGCTCGGGTTCACTATGTTTTATTGAAGCCACTCTACAATATAACCCAAAGAACAGCTCTTGAAGCTTAAGAGGAGTTTGGATTTGATATCCCGCTTTATCACTACCCGAAGGAGTCTCAAAGCGGCTAACATTCTCCTTTCCCTTCCTCCCCCACAACAAACACTCTGTGAGGTGAGTGGGGCTGAGAGACTTCAGAGAAATGTGACTAGCCCAAGGTCACCCAGCAGCTGCATGTGGAGGAGTGGGGAAGCGAACCCGGTTCACCAGATTACGAGTCCACCACTCTTAACCACGACACCACGCTGGCTCCCCAGCTAAGTACTAAGAAAGTGCTAAGGGTAATGTCAGGGAACTGACATCGGAGCGAGAGGCGAAGGGGAGGCTCCTAGATGATGCTGGCGAAGGACCCAGCAGCAGGGGGAGAAACAGCTCAGTAGAGGGGGAAACAAATCAGCGCAACACCAGGGATAAAGGGGGGCAGATGGGGGAATCGGAGAGAGGGCTCCAGGACTCTTCACTGGACCTCAGTGAGGAGGGCACAGGTCCTCAGCTACCCACGCCCTCCTTGAGCAGAAGACTCCCACGCAGTGAGAGGAGGAGGAGACTGGGTGTCAAACAACTTTTATGTTGGAAGAGGTTCAAGAAACGCCCACTGACGGATTCTGCCAGTGACTGAGGCAGCCACGATGAGAAAGGGCTGTGCAGTCAGAAAGGTTTAACAAGGCTAATTAGCCTATAGAGGCACCAGTTTATGCACGAGTAACTCATACCCAGTACAGGTAACTACTTCTGCTGAGCTGAGCTGAGCCCCACAGATCTGGGGAAAGTGATGATTTATTTCTGCTGCAAACTACCCTGAGGATCATACACTGAAAACATGGTACTTATTCAGCTTAGAGAGGACCCAAATTGTAAGCTCTACACTAAGCCTGATAGAGGAACAGTTTATTATAAAGCAGAGAATTTGGGGTTCACAACATTTCTGGTTAAATGAGAATGTTTTCCTGAATTTCCTGAATGTGGAAGTATGAGTTAATGATTCAGAAAATAACACCAGCTGGGCACAATGCCACACACCCTCTATTTATCAAAGATGATAAAACACTTCTGCACAAAGGAGATGAGCGGGGAAATGAGGCCAACTTGAGAAATCTATACCTAGTGGGTATTATATCTGAAAGATGTGGACCTTGTATGTATAATAGAAACATTTTCCTGCATAAATTAGAACAACATTTACAAATGTCTGGTATTGTTCTGCAAAGCACATATTATTTCAGAAAGAAAAGCCCTGGAAATAAAACAAAGAACAACATAACAAAAACCAGGGGGTGGAATCCCACTCCCACCTTTCTGTGCATAATGGTGCCAATAGATCTTCTGGGGAGGCTGGTTTCTAGCCACAAGAACCGATGTTCCAGCATTATCAACAAGGGAGCACACTGCCAACGCCACATCTAAGATCAGTCTCATATTCTCATATTATTTTAATCAAGGTTGGAGTCAAAAATCAGTCACAGCCTTTCCTCAATTCAACAAATCATTCAACAAGTTTAGGGCTAGTGAACCAAAACTGTAATCCTCGAGCTGAATAGCCTCTCAATACAGGACAACAGGTGTTTTTACATGCTGAATACGATGACAAGGCCTCGCATGATTTTAGCTTTCATTATATCACAGGCTTGTCTAGCATCAGAGTATAACAACTCAGATTCAAAGTTGCCTGTGCTCTCATTCATTCTGCATAACCAGAAGACTTCCACTGCAAAGAACTAGGCTCTCACACATTCCCCCCTCTGAATTTAGATTTCCCTGATCCAAAGATAACCTGAAAATTTCCACATCTTTGATTTCCAAAGAGATCGCTCAGTTGGTAGAGCATGAGACTCTTAATCTCAGGGTCGTGGGTTTGAGCAAAATATTCCAATGATACAATTTGATAATTCTATTAAGTAACTACACCTTGGTCAGTGGATGGTCTCATCAGGTATTTTGCCTCTGTTGGGGGAGTAATCCTTTGCTTTAGCTACTTCCCTTTCCAGGCCCCATCTTTTCATCCATGACCCACATAACAACAACAACAACAACAACAACAACAACAATTTATTACTTATACCTCGCCCATCTGGCCGGGCCTCCCCAGCCACTCTTGGCAGCTCCCAGCAGATTATTAAAAACACTATAAAACTAACAGGACTGCCTTCAGATGTCTTCTAAAAGTCTGGGACTTGTTCTTCTCTTTGACTTCTGGTGGGAGGGCATTCCACAGGGTAGGTGCCACCACTGAGAAGGCCCTCTGCCTGGTTCCCTGTAACCTCACTTCTCGCAGCTAGAGAACCGCCAGAAGGGCCTCGGAGCTGGACCTACTGTTGGCCTCTGTTGGAGACTGACTTCTAGAGTAGCTGTTCTTATGAAGCCTGTGTAGATTGATGCTTGTGTAAACCTAGCATTAGTAGAGATGGTGCATGAATGACGGCTTGTCCAGTCAGCCACCATAATATCGGAATGCTTTCAAGCCACATGATGAAGCAATCTGGCTGAAGCTTAGTATGTGTGCCTTTTAACAACACACATATACACTTCTGAATCACAACTAAAGACTACTACGTTTATAATCTATGTTCTTGGGGACAGGATAGGTACTCATGGAAAACCCTTGTCATTTAAAATCTCTGCAATGTACTCTGGCAATAGCAGGCAAACAGAGAGAGAAATGAAATGACGGCTGCCTGAGAATAAATATAAATGTGGGATTGCTTCTTAGGGTCCTCTTGCCATGCTTGGGGGGTGGCAGGAAAAAGCCCCTGGCAATACTGTGTCACAACTAATAGTACAAAAACAATCAAAGAGTTCAGGCAATTTATTGAAATTCTGCAAATCTTTGTTAGCTCCATAGCTTGAGGCGTTTTTACCCACAAGCACAGCAACAACTGCCATCATTATTTAAATTTGCGTAGAACAGTCAGAGATGTCAGTCATTTCAGCAGCCAGCTTTTTTTTTTTTAAGCACGGGTCAGAAGAGGGACAATGGGCCAAATTTGCTCTCAAGTTCACACTAATGAGAACCAAATAAGCCTCTATTTACAGCATTAGGGAAACCAGACCTTGAGTTTTGCCAGCATCTTATGCACAGAGTGCGCGCCAATGAAACATGTCCTAGATTTGGCTGTGAAATAATTAAAAGAATAAACATCTAGTAGCATAACAGAATCCCATGGCAGGAACCATTCAAACATCATATCATTTTTTTCTCGATCATGGAATGAAATCAAAAGAATATTAGGCCTTTGTTCTCAGAGAGGTGTTTAACTACACAACAAACACACGTTTGCTACCAAGTGGCTTCAAGCAGATCCAGATTAATTTCCCTAGGGGTTCTGCTTTTATGTACATCCCTGTGAGAGGGACAGAAAACTCTAGCAACTCCCAGAGCCTAGATATATGTGGGCAAGGAATGCCTGGGTGTGACATTTTTTCCCTCTCAGAGGTCCAGTATGTGCTCTTACTCCTTAAACCCTTGATGCTGCTTGAGAGGCCTATTTGAAAATCAATCAATCAATTAATTATAGCCATCCATCTGACTGGGTTGCCCCAGCCACTCTGGTCGGCTTCCAGCAAATTTAAAGATCAAACACAGTGAACACCACACATTAAAACTTCCCTATACAGGGCTGTCTTCAGATGTCTTCTAAAAGTCAGAGAGTTGTTTATTTCCTTGAGATCTGATGAGAGGGAGTTCCACAGGGTGGGTGCCACTACCAAGAAGGCCCTCTGCCGCCTGCTTTCTTCTACTTAGTATCTCATTCCCATGCCCTCCAAGTGCCCCAGTTTTCCAGGGCAGTCCTGGAATTACAAAAACTATCCTGGCTTCTGATTTGATCCTGGAATGTTCCTATTTGCCTTGCCAGTGCCTCCTACACCTCTGGGAGGAGGATGAGATGGTGGTGGTGACAGATGTGGCAGTTAAGGAGCACCCCAATGTATCTCCATGGCTGCCGCTGCTGGCCTCCTCCCTTGGGTAGCTCGTAGCAGCCGCTGGAACATGGGCGAGGTGGAGGAGAGTCTCTCAATAGTGAGAGATTGGGGTTGCGTGTAACAATATCTAGACAAACACAAACGTGTGTGTACGCCCCTTTCTCTTATCCTTTCCAACCATCCTCCAGCTACAGTCTATGTATGCAGACAGAGACACGCTCAACTGATAACGAAAAACAATACAACAGAATGATTCCATAGTACCAGTTCTTTACAAGGGATTGGGGGTGTAAGAAACTCTCTTGCTGTTATTTCTGATTTACTACGAGGCTGCTTTCATGAGCAGTACAAAAGAGGCACTAAAACAAGCTGAACATTCTGTATGTACAAAGGTAAAAGAAACAAGAGCTACGCAACAGGGCTGGTAATGCAGACCTCAGCATTCTTCCTTTGATTCAATGAAGAAACTTGTCATCTTAAAAAGCTTTAATTAGACTTCACACTTTATTTGCAGACTGAAATCGCATCGTGAAATTGTTTCAAGCCTTGACAAAGGCTAAGTACTGCACAATCTCCCTATTTAAGACAAATTAAACCATAAACCTTTGCTTGGGAGATGCTCTTCTAAGAAATGTGCAATTAAAGAATATTTTAAAAGAGAGTTTGAAGTAATAGGATTAAGCTTCATAGCGCTTGTAAACAATAACCTTCGGAAAACAGACGAGTGAACAAAAGGAATGAAGATGTAGTTTTGGTGGGAAACAATGAAGTTGCGTTTACTAAGTGGAAAAGAACTAAAGCAGATATAATTTTTTTGTGTGTGTATAAGATTAGCTTGCAACAAGATATATGCTGGTAAGGAGATTAGTAAAATTTAAAGTCACAATGGCAAGCATACACACACCTATCAGAAAACCCGACTGCAAGCAAAAACTCTGTAGAAAAACTGTGCCAAGGGCAAGCCCTTTAAATAACAAAATAAGGGCATTTGAAGAATTGCATGCACAAGGAGTTGTGCAAGTTGATGATCACTAAGTACTGGAAAGAGAAGAGTATGAAGTTGCAAGGGATTTTGCAAAGGAAAACAGAATTCGTTTGGGGTGGGGACAGGAAATGGACAGGCGGGAAGTTAGCAGGCAATTCATAGGACCATTCCACACCCTACAAACTCAAAATTATCACATCTGTATCCTGTCTTCTTTCCTGGAAGAAGGAGGAGGAGGAGAAGAATTAGAGTAGAGGCACTGATGGGGTTTGTCCATTTTCACCATGTAACAATTCTGTGAGAGGGAGGTTTGGATGAGAGACGGTGGCACGTCCAAGGCAACCTAGGTCTCCTAAACCTACCCACCATATCAGGGGTAGCCAAGTTTGTACATTCCATGTGTTATTGGACTACAACTCCCATAATTCCTGCCCATTGACCACACTGGCTGGGGCTGATGGGAGTTGGGAGCCCAACAACTTCTGAAAGGCACCCCATTGGCTACTCCTGTATTCTATCACACTGGAGCAGAATAAAATTGGGTTCACTCAGAGCCAAATGCTTTTTAATGAAGCATTTTACAGACAACTTCTTTTTTTTTTTGAAAAAAAAAGGAAAATCCTTGGAAGGCTAAAATAAATGCACAGAAATATGCATTCTGGAGTTCAATATATTTGGCTAGGTTCCTTTTTTAAAACAACAACAACACAAAAACCTAAATCTCATAACAACATCAAAGCACTAGTTTCTATAGTAACCCAAAAACAAATGCAGCTGTGAAATAAATGTAATGCTAGGCAGCATTTTTATTTTCATATTTGGAATGTTTACTGTTTCTTTAGAGCCTGGCAATAAAGTCTCTAAGCTTGGGAAAGACATTTCACTTAAATAGGGCATTACAACCCACTGTTTTAAAATTCTTAGAAATACAAGAAGACGGATATATTTTGAATAACATTCTTGCAAAAACTGTACTCTAAAAGGGGAGCGAAATGAAAAGCAGCTAAATTTATTTCTGAAATCAAATGCCAAAAATGGATATGGCTTGCCTTCATTTCAGGCAGAGTTAAAAACATGGTTGAAAGGGTGTAGGGCAAAGTAGTCAGACATTTGAAAAAGGGAGACCTGAGTTCAAATCTCTGCACAAGGACCTCACTGGGAGAACTTGGGCCAGTCACACACTCTTCTTGTGAAAATAGAATGGGTCACGCTACTCTGAACATCTTGGAGAAAGAATCAGATAGAAGGTTGAGAAATAACCAAATGGATTGTGTCAATTTTATCTCCAGTTGCTCAACATTTTAGGCCAGGCAGATGAATGTTTCCAGTGACAAAGTACTGAGCTGGATGTAATGTCGCAAACAGTGCGGGATTTACGTATAAGCTAAGCAAGCTATAGCTTAGGGCCCACTCTCTTGGGGGCCCCCAAAAAATTAAAGAAAAAAACACCTGGATATACATTTCCAAAATAGAAGGTAAAAAACAAATATAATAAAACCTACATACGGCAACAATGTTTTGTGTTGTGTAGGCTCCTATGATGTAAGTCTTGGGCCCCGCCTGCTAGCCTGCTCCCTAAAATATCACTGGTTTGCTCATTTCTGTATATAGGGTGCCTACATTCTGCGTGGACTGGCTGCATGGCAACAGGTGTAAATGGCTTTAGGTCCATAAATTACCATATAGCATATATTCAACACAAAAAAGTGACAATTTGTTGTTGACAAAGGACAGCTGGACATATAAAGGGCCCCATTACCTTCAGTAGCTTAGGGCCTCATCAAACATAAATCTGGCCCTGGCTGCAAATCATGAAAACTCTCTCTGATCTGTGATGGCTGTTTCTCATCAGCGGATGTGGCAATTGCTGCATGATGAATACACCCTACCGCTAGCTTCAATCAATGGGACAAGCTGAGAGTGCCTGTTAACAAATTTAATTCTTATATAGTTTTCCCCAATATTCAAAGAAGA